GAGCCCCACACGCCCCGGAGCTCGTCCCCGCGGACTAGTGGGGACCCCCACGCCCACCAGGGAAAACCCTCTTCCTCGGCCTCCTCACCAGGTAAAACGGTAAAGGAAAGGAAAGGTGCTCAACACCAGAACATTAGCTGAAGCCGGGTGGTGGGGAAGGACACAGGGAGCCCGTGTACAGAAAACGAGGAAACGCTGAGCTGGAGAAACCGGACGAAAAGGCCCTCCCGCACCTGCAGGGAGCTGAGGCACGCAGGCGACTCGCCCAGCGCACGGAACACAGGAGGCCCGCTCCACGGTGCGGGACCGACGGTTCCCTTTCTTTTTAAATATATATATATACGTTTGAGTTGGTTTCAGAGAGGAAGAGAAAGGGGGAGATAGAAACATCGATGATGAGAGAGAATCATGATCGGCTGCCCCCTGCACGCCCCACACTGGGGATTGAGCCCGCAACCCGGGCATGTGCCCTGACGGGAATCGAACCGTGACCTCCTGGTTCACAGGTCAACCCTCAACCACTGAGCCGCACCAGCCGGGCTGCTTTCGCATTCTTCAGAAACCCAAAGGCCAGAGGAAAAGTCCCATGTAATTTAAACTCAGAGCTCAGTGAGTTCGGGGAACTCAGTGTCACCAGGAGACGGCGCGTTTCATCCAACAGAGTCACCAAAAGCAGGAGGCTCCCAGGACCCGCTCGGCCCCTCAAGCTGCAGGGGCTGCCGTCCGGCCGCTACGGCCCGCCCTCTGGGGAGAGACGGTGGAGAACCCGGGGGAGTCCGTCCTCAGCGGCTCAGAAACCCCGGTGGGCCAAGGCACACAGCACAGCATGACCCGGCCGGACAGCCGGACCCGGGGCCACGCCGAGGTGGAGGCCGCGGCGGAGCAGGGGGTTGGTCCCATCAGCGTCGGCGGGAGACGGGGAGACTTGGCTGGACCGAGGCAGCGAGAGCCCCAGCCCTTCTATCCTCTGGGAAGCCCAGGAGGAGGCGGCCCGAGCTGTGTGGGCGGTTTGACAGCTGTGATCACAGGACTGCAGCCGCCTCCAGGTGAGGCCCAGGTGAGGCCCGGGTGAGGCCTAGGTGAGGTGGGTGGAAGCCCGGCTGTGGAGACGCAGGACAATCGCCTGGGGCTGACGCCCGGGCTGCAAGGACTCGCCCACCGAGCACAGGAGCAGGAAGCAGCCCGAGGAGGGCTCCCAGCCAGAACCCCGAGGTCACACAGGATGCGGGCTCCCCTCAGGTCAGGCCACGGGGACAGCAGTAAGGCCACCCTGTCCCCTGAGGACGGACGACTCGCCCTCACGGGCCACCTACACGTGCTGGCGAGGCCCCCGTGGTCCCTGCCGTGCACACCCAGCTCACGCGAACCCGGACCACGGATTAGTGGGCGCGTGGGAGACGCCAGCGGTGGGCGCGTGGGAGACGCCATTTCCCCCCAGCAGTGCGGCTGCTTGCAGTCTGCACGACCTTCACTGCCCGAGGCTGGATAAGAAAGTGAAGGTCTGTGGGGCGAGCGGCGAGGAGAGAGAGGCCACAGCGCCGCCTGGAAGGTTCCCTCCCAGACCAGACTGACCCTGGCGGGAGGCCAAGGCGATGCCAGCAGCAAGCAGGACAGAACGCCCTCCATGCAGACGGGTCCCAGGCACGGGCCGTCCGTCAGTCCCCGGGCACAGCTGTCCGTCAGTCCCCAGGACGGGCCGTCTGTCAGTCCCCGGGCATGGCTGCAGCAGCGACCCTGCCACGGGGCCAGGACCCACACCACCTGCCCTGCCC